TTCACCTGCAACCCTGCTGGCCCAGGAGCCATTGTTCGGCTGCTGCTGCTGCTGCGTGGCTGTTGGCCTCGTTCTCGATCGGGATCTGGAGCACTCCCGAGATGACAGGCGGTTGTCGGATCCCGACAGGGTCGAGGGGCGCCCTCCGGAACGAGAACGGCCTCTGGATAGAAAACGCCTTCTGGATCGGGAACGCCCTCTGGATCGGGATCTCCCCCTGGATGGAGAACGGTGATGGACGCTCGAGGCGTTCTCCCGTCCTGGCACCTGGTTGTGGCAGGTTTCCTTAAACGTGACAGACGTTGGTGCGTCTTGACGTTGTTGTGCTTGCCACTCTTGCTTTCTGCGTCTTCTTCTCCTTCTCACTATGTATGGAATGTGGAAGCGTCTTTTGCATTCGCGATCTCCGGTGGGGTGATTGCCATCGCAAAGCTTGCATTTCGGCTCGCAGTGATGCACGCCGTCTTCTTGTAGCGTTTCACCGCAGTTGTGACATTTCTTGCTGGTTGCGTTTGTGTGCCGGCAAACATCGGCGCGATGGCCGACTCCTCCGCACGTTCTGCAAACATCGACTTGTCGCTTGTAGAGCGAGCAGAGAACCATGGCGGTTCCGCACATCACTGTGCTCGGAACGCGCAACCCATCAAAGAGGATTGCGACGACTTTGGTCTTTTTAATGCGTCTTGCCTTGATGGCAGTGGGATTTCGGTCGTGCACAATCAGGCGTTTGAGCGTTGCGTCGTCAAGGGAGAGGTCAACGTTCTTGATTACGCCCTTGCATGTATTATCGGGTGCAGCCACGTATGCGGCAACTTCGAACGAGCCTTGGTTTGTGTGCAGTTTCTGCACGTTCACGTATAATGTGGCATTATTTTGGTACGGCGTAGAAATAACAATGATGTTTTGCATATTGTTGGGGCAGATCGTGTCCTCCCGTGCTTGTTCGTCGGTGATCTGGGCGGCCATGATGACGGCTCTCGCCAGCAGAACGAGGTCGACTCGGGCTACGTCCAATCCACCTCTGGGTCTCATAATTACCCTGATCTGGTCTTTGGGTAGGCGGGGTAGCCTGGAAGCGCATACCACACGGTGTAATGCCGATTGAGTTTCTTTAAAGCCCCTGGGGTGCTTCGGCTGGTTGCTGTGCTCGACCCTCCCAGCGGCCAGCTCCTCGTTCGGCGGAGTCGTCTGTCTTCGGCGTCCCATGGCGGTGGCCCATCCTGGTCCGTCGAAGATCTCCGCGCTTACTTCCATTCCCTCCACGGTTACGGTGGAAGGCATTTTCAGTGCCTGGTTGTCGGCTGCGACGTACGGAGGTTGATCCAGTAGCTGCCGCGTCTGGCCGAGCCCTTGGCTACGTGTAACGGCCGTACTCCTCGCTAACCCTAGGTGTGGTTAGGGTTAGCGGGGACGCTCGCCGCGTCGCAACTTTAAAGTCCAAAAATATGTCTAAGAGTTCACTCACCGCCAAAAATGGCGTCTCCACTGAAACCGCAGAGCTTGCTTGTTCGAATAAGCACAAAGCCAAGTGATCTTGAAGCATAGAAACGACCGAAAACATTTAGAAAAGCGGGAGCCGACGTTTTCACGTCCGCGCTCCTCGACGCCACCTAGCGGTCCCCGTTAAGCTTTTAAAGTGTCGACAGCTGTCAGCAACAGCTGCGGGCGCGCATGCTTCCACGTGCCCTGCAACCGGAGCCCTCACCTCCTTTACTTGAACGCGACTTGCCACCTCCTAAATGGTGTGCGTTTGAAACGTGTTTGTAGCGTTTGTGTTGCCAGCGTTTGTGTTGAGAAGACGCTGATATAGCCGTCAGGTACAATGACAGGTGCAATTCTTTATCGCTCCTTCTCTCGCCGTTTGCTCCCTCTTCTCCCTGCATCCTCCTTTCTCGTCTGCTCGCGCCTCACTTTCGACGGTTCGCTGCCTGGGCGCCTCTCAAGAACATTCGGAAATGTTTGTTCGAGACGCCACGGTGAAACGCCGAGCCGAGAACGCTGTTTGTTTTGTTCACTTCATAATGTTTTAGAAGCAAGGAGAAGTTTATTGACTTCCAACCAAGGATAAAGTACATGACAAAAACATCGAGCTTCACGACTACAAAGGGTGCATGTACAATCAGGAAAGCACCACTACCGAGGTACAATGTATGTGGGGCAACGTACCCCTCTATTTACTGTACAGCGCGTGGTGCTCCAGCAGGCTTAATCATGCACGGTGGTAGGTCTTCTCAACACGCGGTTGGAACAAGTAGCGACTTAGCGCTGTACAACTCTAGGTATTATTTCTTTTTGTCGCCTGAAACAATGCTGCTTTCGTACACGGTAAGTGCATGCCCGGAAGTATAAAAGAGGCCTTGAGGCTGGGGGGGGGGGGCAGGGGGGGTACAAGGGAGTGGGGGGGGGTCTTGTCTCCCCCAAAAAAGGCATCAGCAACAATCTTTTAGAAGCTCCTGTGTTTAGAGAAATTTATTCTCACAGACAGTGAACATCAATTATAATCCAACAGAACATTGCGACAGAACACAACATCCACAGACACACCAAAAGTTGTTACAAAAAGATATGTGTACATATGTAAACGGAACACAACATACACAACTTACCCAACTAAACAGGAATTGTTACAAAAACAATGTCTACATGTGCACAATACATGGTAAACGAAGAACACACAAATGAAATGTAGAGATCAATATGCCAAATATTTACATAGTATTTACAAGGTATTTGTATGAGTACTAAACGAAAATTAACCTACTAATACCAGGCAGGCTTGAAAACAAGCCTTACACGTCTCTCACAGATGAACACAAAACGGCAGGACCAGTGTCGAAGTAGCAGCACCCGTTTGTCCCTCGATGTCGTAGTAGTAGTCGTAGTGTGTAACCAGTATTACATTTTGACCTCCAAGGTGGTGCCGGTGAGAGATTTTTTCTGTGCGTTGTTGAACAATAAAAGATAGTGCTCAATGTACATGCCAATGGCTGCTAAGGGAGAATGAGAGACAGGAGAATACGGCTTTTAGTTAACGCGCACGCTGCGAATTTTTTATTGTTCAACAACGCACAGAAGACAAGAAAGGGTTGCTACGTTATACTCGCTGGATGTAACCTCCTGGGTTTTAGAAAGGTTTAGCGAGCGTTGGGCCGCAGTGCCATGAATACAGTGAACTAGTATATACCATGAACTCGAGGTGGTTAAAGGTGGGAAGTAGACATGAAGCGCAAGCAGTAAGAAAGTGTGCGTGTGCCTTCTCTCGTTCAGTCCTTGGAATGTCCGCTGGATGGTGGTGCTTCTATATGAGGAATATATGATGAAAAGATGCGATATGGTGGTACTTGGAGTGTTGAATAGGTGGACGAACGGACACACAGACAGATGCATGGACGGACGCACAGATGGCTGCACGGACGGATGGACGCATGGACGGACGCAGGAGCGGATGCATGGACGAAAGCAGGGACGCACGAACAGACGCACGCACGGACGGGCGGATGGGCGCACGGGTGGCCACACAGGCGCACGCATGGATGGACGGAAGCAAGAACGAATGGACGGACGGATGCTTCGCCCCACTATCCATCATTCACTCCGTGGATATGCTGCCATTTTTTTAATCGTGTACGCTAGCTACAGAGCTGGAAACGCAAACCGTGTTTCTCGCGACAGAAAAATCCGTACAGTGAACAGCCCTATTGGATGCACGATGTAAGAAAAAAAAAACATTATTCTTCTAACGCGGGGTTCTCACGTGCGAAACGCCGTCATGGACGCTTCACAATGCATTCGCATTTTTTCACGACAGTCTTTGGTGGGGTGGGGACATTTTTTGTTATTCCACAAACCTGAACGAGCTGGCCCACTCAAAGGCATGAGGTTTTGCTTCCCGCGACCACAGAGAATTCTCCCGCCAGCCTGCAGTAGTGGGGAACAGAGATCAAGCGGCCACTTATAGCGAAATTACACAACACTTTTATCTGGGCAGGAGAAACTTTCCCCTTCCTAACAAGAAGCTAAATCGAGCGCAGTCTTTGACTCCCAGGCTACTGCAGACAAGTTCGTAACCCAGCCAGCATTAATGCGTAAAATTTATCCCGACATTTTGCCTAATAACTTTTGCAGGCACTACAACGAACATGCTCTGGCGTTGCCCCTCATTGCGGGGCACGGACCAATCCAATGAAGGAAAGTGGTTATCCGCTATCAGAGCTCCAATGTCGGGGATCAACTGTGCCCCACGGTGAGCGGTCCTTAGGGCCCATGATGCGGTGGTCGAGCTTGGCCTGACTAATCTCAACGTGGGAGCGGCCCGCTGTGCGCTGAGTCATGCATCTCAGGACTTCAAATAAAGTTTCGCGTACATCAGGGGCGAGATGGCCAGACAAGCTCATGTCGGGCGTGCGCCAAAGGCCGTTGCCTCCGTAAAGCGTCTCTCATATAAATGCTCATACATATCGTATAAAGTGAACGAAAGGACGAATTTCTCCCTTGCGCAGTGCTAGATCATCATACGCGTTGTTCGAAGGTTACATGCTTGGTCCCTGCCGGCGGCAAGTTATATTTTCTTACACTTCTTGTCCTCCCCATTCACTTTACAAATATTTCGAACATCCCCTATTCATTTCTAGCATTATTGTCTCTTTAGCTCGGATTATTATTTACTCAACATAGCGTATGTGCATGAAGAAAACATATTTACTGAAATACTTTAATGGGGCCCACGAGCCGATACCGACAAAATTCACAGCGTCGTAGTCAGGAAAACGCGATGAAATTTCTCTGTTTCACGACCTGCATTACTTGCATCACCCTGGTTATTACGTACGCTATTGATAATTTAATTTCGTAAAATTAGCTAATGTTTCATATCTAAAGTCCACCGGAGTAAGAATTCGCTTCCATTCACTTCTTTTTTTTTTCAGAAAATGCAGCAGACTTGTACTATGAAGGCTGACTGTCAAAAGAAACAACGCGAACATTTCTGTAACAAAGCTCACCTGTACAAAATGGCGGAGGTTCTTGTAGGACGTTCCAATGGGGTAGTGAGCCAGGATTACAGGCATTCGCGTCTAAAATAAACAGAAAGCCGTTAGAGAGCCATATGAATATATGATTTGGCGTGATGGTTGTTAAAACATAAAGTTAAGCCTATCTCAAAGCTGACTGCTAGACAACCTGCGTTCGGATAGTTACAAGGTGAGAACTTCGCAAGACAAGTCACCCCGACAGCGATTTCCTGAGAGAAGAACTCATCTTACAGCGGTAGCTAAGCGATGATTGTGTCACTGACTAAGTTTGGCCGTGACAGAACCATTTAAGTGGTCGCAAAATGGGATAAAATTATGAAATACCCAACCCTTGGGTTCAAGTTCCCACGGTGAAGAGTGCTAGGTGGTCAAATTTATTACGCAGTCCCCTTCAACGGTACTTCTCAAAATGGTGGCGTTTTGAGGGCGTCATCCCTTGAGTTTAATTTTCATTTTGAAAGAATTACAGGAAATTCGAGACGTTATATCGCTGTTGCCGTTATGTTCCGTATAAATTCCAACTCAATAAAAAATTGGTAGCTCCCACGTACAGTGGGAATTGCTGATATGCGAAGCACGAATGAGGAAGGTTGATATGTCACTTTAAAATCCGCACAACATTACAAGGCGGAGGTGAATTATGCCGTAAATGACTTTCATGTCATGATTATCACGTTCGGACGTGTCATTTACCTTCGTCATCTATTCACGTCACTTCATACCAAATTTGGTATATGTGCAGCTAGCGAAACGACCGTGAGCGTGCTATCAATGTAGCATGTAGTCATGTTTTATATGACACGAATATCATTGTTATCACGTTTGAACTTGTCACGTATACCTTCGTCGTCTATTCACGTCCGGCAATACCCAACTTGGTATATGTGAAGCTAGCGAAATGGCGGTGAGCGCACGTAACGTGGACACGCGCACGCCGGACGCATCGACGCTACGCTATAGCAAAATGCGAGCACTTTACCTGGCGCTAGGTGGCTTTGGCTAGGCGCGACCAGCGTTGTCGGTGAGTCCCGGCGGCAACCGATGCGAAATGCGACATGCTGCATTTTCCGCCGATGACGTTACCTAGACAGCACCACATGTGCTTAGCTTCGTGACGGAAGGACGCCGGGCGCGCTGGAACGCGCATAGATCAAAGCAACGCAGCGCTTCGTGCGCCTGAGAGTATATGGCAGGCAGATTGGCGCCTGGCGTGGCATCGCCGGCGTGACGCGACGAAACGAACGCCGGCGCGCACGCACGCCTGGTCACGTCGAAGTGTATTGGCGCCTTGAGTGTGGCATGTAGTCATGTTCTTACACGACATGCATCTCATGATTATCATGTTTGCACCAGTCACGTACTTCGCCATCCATTCACGTGACGTAATATGTAATTTGGCATATGTGAAGCTTGCGAAACGGCTCCGATCGCATCATGAGTGTGGCATGTGGTCATGTTGTTACATGAAACGTGTCTCATGATTATCATGCTGGCATCAGCCAGATACCTTCATCATAACCATATGGTGTAGTAGCGCAAATTCACGGGGACGAAGAGGACAAGAAAACACGACACTCGCTACACTCGCAACTAATTTTTATTTCAGAAGCAGCACTTCATATATAACCCATAACCCTAGCGACACAGAAAAGAACTACGAACACCGAATCATTGCCAACAGAAGCTTTTGCGCAGACTCAAGCGATAGTACACGGCAGTTACGCTTAGACACTTTAAGATGACATAACTAAAACAGCCCTGGGTAACATCAAATCAATAAACCAAAAAATTTTGCGGGAATTCACACGTGTTTGAAACAAAATTTTGAAACGACAAAAAGGAGAGTATGACACATGCGAACACTGATCTCAATTAAGTCCTTCGAGGTAGCTGGCTTCTCGGTTGCTTAACGAAACCGATGACTGACTAATGCATCCTTCCTTTCTTTTTTTAATGTGAAAGGCTTCGACAATTTCTCTGGTTAGTTGGTTTCCATGACGGAAGACTACGGTTGTGTCACTGTACTGTGGTGAGCAGCCACACTGGGAACAGTGTCTCTTTATGTGAGAATGAATGCCAGTTCCTAATGATCGCTTGTGTTCTAAATGTCGGGTGTTCAAACAACGACCCGTCTGGCCGATGTATACCTTTCCACACGTTAGCGGCAAGCAATACACGACTGATAGGCTACACTTGACAAACTTTGTTTTGTGATTTACCGTACAACTACCAGCATTAGTGTTTACTGCTATGGAAACTTTACGGTCTAGTTTGGAACATATTTTACTAAGCTTGTTGGGTGCCGAAAAAACTAATTCTAGGCCATAGCGATTACCTACGTTTTTTAAGTTATGGGCAATCTTGTGCGCATATGGAACGGACACTATCTTTTTCCTGTTTTCATTACTTGTCATTTTTTTATGAAAGTTGTTGCGTACGTGACTAATCAGCTTGTTAGCTGATCTACACAACACGTGTTTTTCGTACCCAGCATTTTTTAGCCTGATAATTTGTTCGTTGAAGCTTTCGCTAATCTTTTCTGGACATGACTTTGTTAAGGCTGCTCTCAAACATGAAAAGGCTATGCCACTCTTTACAACTTTAGAATGTGCCGATCGGTAATTCATGAGTAAATTCAATTACCAGTCAATCACAAACTGCAGTTTTTGGATATTGAGTTAGATGCCACAGCAGAACATGTATGCTGGTCTTACAATCCGCGAACGGAAAAACCCTTACTTAGCTACCGATCGGCACATTCTAAAGTTGTAAAGAGTGGCATAGCCTTTTCATGTTTGAGAGCAGCCTTAACAAAGTCATGTCCAGAAAAGATTAGCGAAAGCTTCAACGAACAAATCATCAGGCTAAAAAATGCTGGGTACGAAAAACACGTGTTGTGTAGATCAGCTAACAAGCTGATTAGTCACGTACGCAACAACTTTCATAAAAAAATGACAAGTAATGAAAACAAGAAAAAGATAGTGTCCGTTCCATATGCGCACAAGATTGCCCATAACTTAAAAAACGTAGGTAATCGCTATGGCCTAGAATTAGTTTTTTCGGCACCCAACAAGCTTAGTAAAATATGTTCCAAACTAGACCGTAAAGTTTCCATAGCAGTAAACACTAATGCTGGTAGTTGTACGGTAAATCACAAAACAAAGTTTGTCAAGTGTAGCCTATGAGTCGTGTATTGCTTGCCGCTAACGTGTGGAAAGGTATAGATCGGCCAGACGGGTCGTTGTTTGAACACCCGACATTTAGAACACAAGCGATCATTAGGAACTGGCATTCATTCTCACATAAAGAGACACTGTTCCCAGTGTGGCTGCTCACCACAGTACAGTGACACAACCGTAGTCTTCCGTCATGAAAACCAACTAACCAGAGAAATTGTCGAAGCCTTTCACATTAAAAAAAGAAAAGAAGGATGCATTAGTCAGTCATCGGTTTCGTTAAGCAACCGAGAAGCCAGCTACCTCGAAGGACTTAATTGAGATCAGTGTTCGCATGTGTCATACTCTCCTTTTTGTCGTTTCAAAAATTTTGTTTCAAACACGTGTGAATCCCCGCAAATTTTTTGGTTTATTTTATTTGATGTTACCCAGGGCTGTTTTAGTTATGTCATCTTAAAGTGTCTAAGCGTAACTGCCGTGTACTATCGCTTGAGTCTGCGCAAAAGCTTCTGTTGGCAATGATTCGGTGTTCGTAGTTCTTTTCTGTGTCGCTAGGGTTATGGGTTATATATGAAGTGCTGCTTCTGAAATAAAAATTAGTTGCGAGTGTAGCGAGTGTCGTGTTTTCTTGTCCTCTTCGTCCCCGTGAATTTGCGCTACTACACCATATGGTTAAATGATGTCTCACCAACTAGCCCAGCTCTCAACCCTACTGACCTTCGTCATACATTCACGTCACGTAATACCCAATGTGGCAAATGTGAAGCTACAGCGAGACGGCCGCGAGCGCATCACGAGCGTGGCATGCAGTCATGCTCTAACATGACACGCACCGCATGCATCTTATTTGCACAAGTACGTCATATACCTTCGTCATCCATTCCCGTCCCGTAACACCAAATTTGGCATATGTGAAGCTAGCGAAACGACTGTGAGCATACCGTGAGCGTGGCGCGTTGTCTTGACTCATGGGTCATGACTGACATGACATGCATGTCATGATTTTCATGCTAGTGTTCGTCACTTCTGTTCGTCATGCAGTTATGTAATACCATGCCAATTTTGCAACATGTCATGCGAACGAAACTACCGCAAGAGCAGCATGCATGACCATAAAATGTAAATCATGACATTCATTACATACATGTCGTAATAGTCAAGTTATGACTAGTCAAATATGCTCGTAACACGCTCATGTTATGCCGTACGAAATTCGGTATTGATGTCATTAACGAAACGGCCAGGAGAGCTAAAAGTCGTAGGCGGTTAGATAGATAGATAGATAGATAGATAGATAGATAGATAGATAGATAGATAGATAGATAGATAGATAGATAGATAGATAGATAGATAGATAGATTCAAAGTCGCCGAAGTTTGCTATCTATCTGTACCTGTGAGTCACAATGACTCACAGGTGCAGATGAACGTGAATATCAATAAAGAAAAAAAAAGCAGATGAACGTGAATAAGCATATATGTTGTTAATGCGCGGTGTCTGAGAAGCACGCCCTTTTCGCAAACGGAGACTGCACAACGATTGCAGTGACCTTTGTGCGCCCGGTAACTACAACAAAATTGTTCTGGTGAAATCCCACCACGAGAAAAGGGTGCGCGAGCAAGCGTACACCCGTCTCTTCTCCGCGGGGCTACGTGTGTAAGATGAGAGCGCGCTTTGCCGCGTCGTGACGATGTGGCAACGCGCGCTCATCGCGCCAACTAGCTGGTAATGCTCTAAACACGATAGTTCCTCCGAGATGCCCGTCAGCAGCGGTAAGTGGTAGATATAAATAGCTTGCCGTTTGAAAGTCGAAGGAGGTGCTTCTTCGTAGCTAAGTGGGCAACGCCACGCACTCCCACTTCAGAA